TGTCAGCTTTCGCTTTTCAAAATGGCTGCTCAAATTGATCTATTCTCAATATAAATTCATTTTCTTCTCATTTGCATAAAACTCACGTGTTTTACGTGATATGACCCTTTTCTATGCTTTGTTTATTTTCATTTTCGACACGGAGTTAGGCGGTTGTTTTCAGTTGATTAATCGATAGCATTTCTAAATCAGCTTACTGACTTCTAATTATTGTAATAAAATGTGAGTTTCAGTTATCAATATGCTCTGATAGGAGTGAGCCAACGATTGGATGGGTTGGATCACGACCAGGAGTCACATGTCATTACCGAACAGGACAAGTTCTGAAAATTCCGACAGGTTTCTTCAAAAATTATACTTGTTCACAGAATGTTGTTTCAGGAGCTTTAACACTCCCTGGATGGTATTTGATTTGTTATGTGATGCCTGACGGATGCCAAACATGCATGTAAGTTTCGTACTTATGAGCTGTTTTTAACGCTTAACTTTGTTTCCTTTAGATTGGATATTTTGTGTGAAAATGAGTTTATGGAAGCTTGTTCTGACAAGTATATTCTAAGCTCTTCTCCAATATCTTCAAATTCTTCCATTGATTATTGGGTTCAAATTGGCAAGAAGTTTCCTTTCGCTCAATCTTCGAGTGTTGAGCTGAATGTAAGGAACCAGCGAACAAAGAAGTTTGTAACCACAGAGCACATGAAAGCACAGGTAATCCTTTTCATATTCCATCTTTGCATTTGCAGGCTGTTTCATACATCAACACCATTAAGAGAACAAAGCTTGTGTTATTCACATTCTTGTTTCAGGTTGATACGATAACTAATTTGACCATTCATGGCTTAGAGCCACATGAGTTTTATAATGTTGAACGTTGTCTTCGTGTGAAACTACCTTTAGCACTCACATCAGATGCTCGATTCACGTTTTCCGATGACTTGAAAACCAATGGATCAACCTTCTGCTCAGAGGAAATGTTCCGCACATTACGTAACTCGTCTCAAAATCCATCAACATTCCTACCTTTAGCCATAATTTTCTTTTTTTTTTCATTCGGTGATAACATAGCTGGAAAGTGTGGTTTGTAGATGAAATTATACTCAAAGGATTTTATCAAAAGAAAATGTGATTTATGAAGTGAATGATCTAGCTATTGCTAGAACATTCCATTTGAGTAGATAGAACTTGCCACTCTTCCATAATAATATAAAAACGTAGAAACATTCATTAAAAACGATTTTTGTTGTGATTGTTGAATCTTCGTCAACTACAGGTATATCAACGGCCAATATGCTTTTTTTTGTTCATTTTCAGTGTTTGTATGTATGAATAAAGTTTTTCGAACAATTTTTTTCTTTTAACTTCAGATTGATCAAAAGAACTGCCTCCGATTTGATTGAAAATGAGATGCTATGAAGGATAATGAAACAGATTAGATGATGAAACAAGCTTTTCCAGGTATAATGATAATGATACGAATAAATTATTCATTTGCATAACCTAACTAAGCTGGATTTGCTCCAGAGGGGAATGGGTATCCGGTTGTTGGGGGAGGAACTCCTGGTTGAGCAGTAGCCTATCAATAGAACACGTTTTAGGTTTTCGAATGACGGTTGAACACTAGAGTTACCTGATTATTACTGGAATTGAAAGATGGCGATAATCGTTCTCTATGCCATAAATAAGCATCAAAGGCTGATGTCAAACAGATTAAGACGGATGAACCCTACGAATGAAAAGTGAATTTCAAATATTTTT